ATCACGAGGGACGTGGAGGACCAGGAGACGCTGATCTTCGTGTCGCGGGCGGACGTGCAGGCCGTGAAGGGTCGCGTGCACAGGGAGCTGTGTCTCGAGACGGTGCAGAGGCACCTGAGGGATCGGGGGGTGGAGCTCCGATCCGAGTTCCCCGAGGTCTTCGGCAAGCTCTGCACGTTCGTCGAGGAGAATCTCACCTTCGGGCACGTCATCTTCTACCCGAGGGATGCGTCCAGCGGGAACTATTTCATGTGCATCATCATGCTGGAGATCGACGAGATCCGGTACGACCAGCTGCCGAGGCAAGTGACCAACCTGAGGGTGATCGACATCGACGAGAGCTAGAGGTCTCTCGGCGGGTGGGGACGCACGATGCGCTTAGCGGTCGAGGCGACGGGTCCGGGGGGAGAGTTTCCCTGCGCTAACACGAGTACACTTATCTCGCTCGCTCTCTCTTTCTCTCTCTCTCTCTCTGTAGATCTCCCTTTTACTGTGTCGACCGGGTTCTTTGGGGCGGTCGGTCGGGTCGGGAAGCGGGAGCGGGACGTCGTTAGGGGAGGGGGGGCGAGGTTAGGTGTTGGGGGTGGGGTGGGAGAGTTTGAGATATTTTATTGTCAGTCTTCCCTGAAAAGTAGGCACAGAGGTTGTTGTAGGTTCACATTTGAATTTACGCGTTCGTTGAAGAAAAAAACTGGAATCGGACGGAGAGACATTGGAGACGAGGCTCAATTCCACGCCCGGTGATTTTTTTGCCTTTGCTTCTTCACTGCGTTAGCGAAGCGACTATTAGAGGGGAACCGACTCGCGTAGCGCGTCTGCAACAGATGTAATTCCCCCCCCCCCCTGAAAAAAGGGAAGCTCGGCCGCCCCTCTTCCATCTTCCTCGGATCGATGTAATTCCGGTTCGTACCTCGTCTTTTTTTATTTCCGCCGGAAAGGCTTTCCACTGCGTGTTTCCCGGGCGGAAGAAATCGCGACTAGGAGCAGGGGGGAGGATTCCCCACGGAACCCTGTGCCTGGAGACGTTTTTCACTTAGCGGTGCGTACGAGTCTGTGGTCCACTCGTTGTGTTTTGCCCTCCGTGCCCCCCTTTCCCCCCCCCTTCGTGGGGGTTTTTGCCGCACCGTTCCGTTCTGCGATGACTTTCTCGTTCTGAGCGCGTTTGTTGCCGGCAGGCGACGCTCTCTAGGTGCAGCCATTATTCTCCTTGCAACTCTTATTGTTATGGAACGGGAGAAATAAACTGTTATTTATTGGCCCTTTGCTTGTCTGCCCAATCGAGTTTCTTCGTCCCGGGCCACGGTCTCCCCCGTCCAACGCCTCGAAAAAAAAAAAACCCTAACGGCAAAAGCGCAGACGATGAGATCGAGGTCCGTGGGAACAAACGAGCGCGTATCCGAATCAAGGAAACATGAAGATAAATATTTTCTCCCGCACTTGCTGTTCCACTCATGGTGATTGCCTCGCGGGAAAAAAAAGCAGGAGAAAACCCCGATCCGACGCTTTTTCCTCCACCGGTTCGAAAAGATAACAGAGCCACTCTCCCGAGTCTTCACCGTAGCCATCAGTCGGCGATGGAATCTAACCTTCCAAAAAACATATTGACACGAAAACCGAACCCTCTGCCTACGATACAAACACCCAGACAGACTAGAACAATTTATTCACGAAAAAGAACAAACACGTGCACGAGAAACCTCCGGCAGGATGCCAAAAAAACATGCCAAAGGAGCCCGATGGTCTCGATCGCGTTCCCGGGCAAACCGCCCGCGTTCCTGACCGCACCACCTGCGTTCCTGGACGCACGGATTCTCAACATCCCACCGCCGTTTTCCACGTGTCTCCCAATATGGAAGCACGCTGCGTTGCCACCGTGTCTCGAAATTCTTTGGATGAGAAACCTGGGGCCCATTCGAATGGGCTTCACAACCCTAAAATGCTCCCGAGAGCGGATCCGCGGTACGCTTCCGTTCCGATTCGATTCCACAGAGCGATGCGACACGAGCGCGTTAACAAGATCGGCCGTGCGCGTGCGACACAGGCCTGGCATGTAACTGGAATGCTCGAGTCACAGGTACGGGTATGTACGAAATACATAGCAATTTTTAAGGATCGGGAAACTCGTGTTAAAAGCAAGAAACGAGGTCTTAACATCTGAAGAATTTCCGTTCGCAACGTTCGCTCGACTCCCGAATCCTTACCGACGAGGAATTTTTACTTCGAGCAATTCGTCTCCTCCCAGGTTGAGACAGGAAAGAGGTAGTTAAAAAGATCTAAAAACAGGTATCGGGTGGCAATTCGCGGTCCCGAGCAAACGTCACGAGTAGTCGTCTTCGTCGTTGCTGTTCTGCTGTCTTTCTTGCTCCAATTTCTTTTGCACTTCCGCTTGCATCTGCTGCCATTGGCTCACTTCCACTTGCAGCTGTTCCTCGCGAGCCTAAAAACACGAGAAAAGCGATCCTAGAGACGGCGGTCGCGACGCGTACGTCATGGAAGGTGGGGCATTCGGAGTCGGGGGTTGCCGGGGAAAGAGCGGGATCGGGAAAGACTTCGGGGAAATCAAAGGGGGCAGAGGACGGTCGTGCGCATGCAGGCCGGCAACAACTCGGATCGGGGAAAATCGAGGCAGGGCAGAGAGACACCGTGCAGACGCCGTGCACGACGCTCAGAAGAAGGACAAATGCATCGAGCGCTTCTTCGCTCCGCGGCTTGCCTTTGCGAAGAGCTCCTGCTGCTGCCGCAGCAGCTCCTCCTCGGGGATGCCCAGGTTCTCCAGGCGAGTGGACTGCCGCCTCTTCTTCGCGGCCACGGCCTTGCAGTCCACCAGGGTCTCCTTGGCTTTCGAGGCGTAGTCGGAGAAACTGCTTTCCTCCAGTGCTACATTCGGGGAGAAGACAGACAGTCTGTTACTCTTCGTCTCCATCATACACGTAATCTCTGGGAAACGTTTCCAAACAGGCAGATATCGTACATATCTACATCGTACAGTAAGCCCAATAAGTCATTTACAGGTCGGGTCGAGTAGTATAAGCCTTCACTCCGACGTCAAGGTGTCAAGTCCCTCGGCATACTTCGAACCAGTGTTCACTTCCAGATGCATTTAATCCACACGTCGGCAGAGGCATCCTTGTGATTTACATAACACGGCTATTGTCTTATGCCACGACAGAGAATTTCTAGCATTTGCTTAATTTCAACTCAGAAACGATAAAAGAATGACAGATTAGTAGTACCATTATATGTACTCGGGGGTGGCCTTCTCTGGAACTGGCACCCAGGCGCAAATGAGGCTGTGCACAAACGAAAGGAGAACAACTATGGACACAGATAAGGACTGCAATGGATTCTGCATTAATGGGCATGTGACTTATGCTTGGAAGCCCTCGGATTCTTTGCCACGACTCTGGATGCTGCATGACAACTTGGCATGGTTACCTTGTCACATGAAGTTGATAAAGAAGCTAGTGAGGAGGATTATGGCTCTCCCCCACCAATGCAGGTAGCCGTTATAGTGGCAGTTAGGGGGTGCTTTCCCCTGCCTTTGCAATAGCTGGTATATCTGATAGCTGAAATACCAAGACCCCAGCTGCAAAAATTATTAAGAAAAAAAAAGCAGTGTCTCCATTGACCAAATACTCTGAAAATTTATGTCTTGCAAGCAGACACCAAGCAGGCCAAAAGAGAGCCATCTTACATCTCCACCTCTGCCAAACCCCCACTATTATCATCCCTTGACAACAGATTCATTGAAGACAGGCTATGGAAGAGACAACAGATGGCACCAACCCTGAATGACATGGTCGGCACTGATCGTCTTCTTCTGCTGCTGAGTGCAGATCCTGTTGGCTTCTGTGGAGATGAACCGAATGAAGCCGGAGCAAGCGTTCAGGATGAGCTCCCGCGACTCGTTCGCCACCCGGATGGTGGGCAGGAACTCCTTGATCATCTTGTTGATGGAGGCTCTGGGGATGGTGAGCTCATCCTCCTGATCCCGATCCCTGTCATCCCGAGCGGTCGACATCCCTCTTTGGTCCACAGCGGCAACGAAAGAGATCATGCGTGAAATATCTGAAGGCAAAGGGAGGTGATCAAAACTGGTGAACAACCACTTTTGCATTTTCAAAAGTGGTTGCAACCATCGAGCAATGGAGGGAGTCGGCTTTTCTGGCATGGAAGCCAAGCTGCAGCTTTCCAGTAATGCAGCCCAAGCAAACAATCTCGAAAAAAAACCAGCTGTTGGTAGTCTTCGCACAGCAGTATTGCTTTCCTCTACAACAAGGGTTGCTCATTTAGATTTGTGAACATAGACAATTTCCAGGGGAGGATCTTTTTGGAATTAATTTGCTTTGCTCATTTGTTCAGTGAAACTATTGCTAAGCATATACATAGACAGGCATATAAGCCACTGACAAACCACACTTGTTTTAGTTAATAATGGTGATAAAGAGGGTGTTGATGTAATAGCTGCCCATTTTTGCTGACAATGACAAGGATGTAACTAAATTATGGGAGTCAAACCTTACAAGAATAAAAATGTGATTGCAATTCAAAGGGTTTGACAATGCCAATAGGAAGAAAATTATTTGAAATTTTTGCAAATAATATTTATGGGGAAAAGTAGCTCCAGATTGGACACGATGACTATAAGTTGAGCTGAACAATATATATCTAGAGTTTTCTATGTTGCTTCTTCTGTACAAACAAAACAACCCTGCAACCAACACAAGCCTTAAAATGGGAAAATCTGGAGAAGCCACATTGTCTTGGTAAAAAAAAAAAAAAAACCCTGTGCTTGTCTCTGGTTCAACTATGGCCAATCTGCTCTATACTAGGGTACTGTACTTTGGCAGCCTGCAGTTTTCAGCAAGACATGACAAGACACTCAGAGAGATTACCTCAGTTATACATTACTTCACTGTAACATCAGCGGTAGAACTCAGCAGAAGAAAATTGCAGAACCTCACAGATTTTTTACAGTTTTGGCTTCAACACATGGAATACATCGATGCTTGATAAATAGGAAGGTCATTTTTATCATTGAGACCTGTTTATAGCTTGCCCTTGGTTTTCCAAGGTATTATGGGTGATGGGGAAAACCTTAGATCTGACAGACAAGCATTGTTCTGCATTCTGCGATTCTTTTCCATGCTGGTTTCTACTGCTGGGAACAGTCTCAACTTGGGTGACATGCACCAGATCTGTTTAACTTTAAACTGATTTGTTTTCATAATGGATGTCTACGGGAATAAGTTTATCTCTGTTAAACTGATTCCCATTGAGGACCATTGTGAAATCAATTAGTTTAGCTTAAACGGATCCGGTGCATGTCACCCCTTACATTGGAACATACTAGTTCACCTATGTGACCCTCCAACCATGATAGTTATCTAAGAGGGTGTCTTCACTATTTTATGGATGGAATATATGATAACAAGCCTGAAAGGGATGAATGTGGCCTCGAAGTATCAGGGGCAGCTTCCACCAACTCCATGTTAAAAGCCCAGCTTTATTCTTACCTCTTACTGGAATAACACTCAAAAGCACTGGAAACATGATTCAATAAGGAGTTATAGGACTGTATGGACTGTCACAGACCTATAATGAATCCAGAAATACTGGCATTTCAAAATGAATTTAATGGATCAAATTGAACCAATCAAGGGAATTCCTTGCTTCCAAATTACTGAGAACTTCTGTCCCAAAGCTCAAAACCATGAAAATCCCCTATAATTTCTGTGTATTAGTGATTTTGGCCCCGTAATGAATTCATACCTTTCAAGGCTCATACTTCATATTTAAGGTTCCATCCAAGATTTCCTTTTGAAGAGATCTCAACTTTAAAAGAGGGCATAAAGCAAATATGAAGTGCCCATCAGCTGTGGCCATCTCCTGATGCTTTGGAAGTTAAAATTATTTGGCATTGTGGTTGTTAAGGTTGGCAATTGAGTTTCATGTCCATAACATTTATCCCATGAGAAAGTGTTCACAAATTACCTAAGATTTATAGCAGGCAGCAACAAAAGTGATATTTGGCATACAACTCAGTGACAAATTTACACTTTTTCACCCTCTATAGCTTATTCTGAATTTACCCAATACAGGTCTGAAATTAAAATCCTCCCCTAAAAACAAGAAAATTAAAATGAGAGCAACTTTGATGGTGAGGTCTGGATGACTGAAACAACTCAATGCAGTCAGGAATCATTTACCACATTGGCATCATTGAAAAACATCACATTGCCACTGCCACTGTTGGGGATAGGTGAAAAGGAAGCTCACATGCACTGACTTCCATTGAGGTGGTGCAGAGATGGGGCTACTCAAGACTAAGTGCCCATTTCCAGCAATGAAAGTAAAAGTTGATTGAAAGAGATACAGGAAATCACAAGAAAAAGCAAAAAAAACCAACTAGCATACAGTTTCAGAGCAATCACAAATCTCTTTGACCACAACGTCCAGCATTAGATGAGTGAAAAAATCCTGCAAAAGCAGACCCTAATCTCCAACTCAACTCACAGATTTCTGAGCTGGCTCAGTTCAAAACACCAGGATTACAAGTTGAATGCACCATGTAATGGCCAATGTGACAAAAATATCCATTTGGAATTGTTTCTAGAGGAGCATGAAAGAAACTTGAGTGAAGAAAGACAAACAGAGACACATGTAATCACATTCACCTCCCAGGTGGATTCATACTCCTCCAGGTCAATTTTTTATGGGAACATCAACAGCAAGCACATGCAGAATTGTTTGCATAATATATGGAGTACCCTGCAACAAAAACCACAAAACCACGCACAGCTATACCAGCACTGTGAACCACAGCAGCATCACCAAGTTTGGGATACATGAGGATGCATGGGTGGGGGAAGCAAGCTCTTGAGACTCACTCTTCATTCCCAGCATGATGACAACGTTCTTTTAACTCTGACCTGCTCAACACCTAGGTCAGAACTGGGGGTTTTGATGCACCTTTACAGCACCAAGAGGATGGCATGTTTCATAATATTAATGCATGAAATGGAAGTATAAAGCCACATTCACGAGGATTTGCCATGTACAGGGATTATGAATAACAGGATTCAAGAACACATGACTGTAGAACATATGTCATTCCAGTAAGACTGACTCACTCATGCTTTCATTCACTCCAGGAGATGTTCACTTCAAATAAAATATGAAGTGAACATACTACATTGAATCCACAAACAAATCAGGCAAGGTTATTCATACACTCTATCCATATATGATGATGACATCTGTACTAGTGAACTTGAGCAGCAGTTTATACCATTGTATATGATTAAAAAAAAGGCCATGTTGCTCCCTATGAAAACTCAACAATTTGTGGTAAGACTTGCTAACTAGGAGGGGAGAAGCATAAAAATGAAGATTGTAATAATCATAATGCTAGTGGGAAGGCAGCCTTCCTGAAGCTAAAAACATATAAGCAAGGGGTATTTAGCCATGTATTATCAACATATACCACAAGCAAGAGATGAACAACAGTTAGGTGTCAAAGTGTAACTAGCAAGACAGGTCAAATTACACGAATGATGGAATGTAAGAGATGTTCAGGAGGCCTAAACTTCACCATGACACCTTAATGGAGAAGAGTAATCAAACAAATGGAACTCATTTCCTACTAACCTTTCTGAGTATGGATGCATAACTCCTTCAGGAAAGAGCTTTCCCATGATGAGGTGGCTGGTTCAGCCCATGCTTTCCCTTGACATGCAGTGCAATGGCTATTGACCTTCCCGTCCCATAGGTACATTTTGGCTCTAAGGCATGTATGTTCTATGGAAAAGTCCCAATGGGAGTTCTTCTCTCATGCACTGTAAAGATGCTGATGTGTACACCATCCACAAAGGTCAAGAGGACAGCCAAATAAAAGCAATGACACAGCTCACTTAGGAGAAAAGACTAAACACCAAAGGGAGTAGTACCCAGTATCCAGCTATTTTGGTGTATTGCTAAGCTCCCACAGCAGCATCTCCTGCACTGGGCTGAAGGAAACAGTGTCATGTTTCTGATCAGTGAACAACTTGGTGCAAATAGTGTAATGTATGGAAATTACCCATAGTGTCAAAATCAGGTTCTGCATCACACAAGAGAGATGTCTCATCTCTCAAAGTTGCATTTTTCATTCATATGAGAGAGATATATCAAATTGATATTGGGTTGTGTAATAAAACTTTCCTCTTCCCAAGGCACTATTATTAAGGTATCCACCCATGAAAGACTCATGCATCCCATTCAGAATGCAGCATATATGACACAGCAGACTGAAATTAATAAGGTTCACACCATGGCATTGCATTTGAAAGGCACAGAAAATGCAACTACCTCTCAGGACAAGTCATATCACTTCATTATTATAAATGTTGATGTTGAGAGGTGAATGTGGATGTTTTATGGTCAAAAACCTGATTTTACATGAGACGGTTTATCACACCAGAACATACTACACCATGGGAGGGAGGGGGAAGGAGAGAAGAAGTCTCATTGAAGCTCTCCCATAAATGCATTCATTTCCTTACTCATTTCACTTCTTTAGTACATATTACAGAGAATTCAAGGGCAAATAAAAGTGAAAAACATGGATATCAAAATATCCAGATGTTATTGTTTAGTGCAAAAAAAAAAGGATAATGGATGAAGTGCATGGAAAATATCCACTATGCTGAAAGTCATATTATCCCTTGGGTGCCTGAGGCATGAATCTGCATTCTTGGTTCTTCAAATAATGCAAAGAAAGATCTGGTTCTCTTGCAGAAAAGAGATTCACACTAGTTTGGTCAAATATATTTCTATGGTGAGAGATTTCCATAAAATAACTTCAGATTTGACTTTGATGGCTAAAAAGTGCACTTAAGAAACTGCTGTGGTGTCAGTAACTCAATATGCCCCAAAAATGCAGATTCAACCCTCTGGCATCAGAGGGATGATAGAGGGAGTGCATGTGGACTTCATGCCAATATGTGAACATGCAATCAAAAAAGGTTGTGCATACCCTGGTTCATCCATCTCCAAGGGTGGAGATGGATGGATACC